CTTCGCCTTTTTCCCAATAAGCATGGCAGAGCTGGCGATGCGGCTCCGCTACGCCAGGGCAGATGAGTTCTACCACTATGCCTGGGGTATCCATCAAGGATTCGTACCGAGAGAGCAAACAAAAAGGGCCTCTAAAAATTGGTAGGAAAAACAGTAATACAACGTATGGCGGGAGTGCTGTGACCCGCTAGGTAGTTTTGATATGGTCAAGTACGATTTTATATGTAGGTTTTTTGCCCTGGCGGTGCGGGAGCTCTCTTCTCTGTGTCCGCTACATCAGGCGCCGGAACCGGAAGTCTCCAGAGTTATTCTTTATGGCAGAGTGGAATCTCACATGGGGCACTGGTCCCAACATTCTACCGAAACCAATTACATTTGACAGACAAACTCATAACAGGTTTGGTTCTACGTTGAAGGTCCATGAAAGCCATGCCTAAAGCGTTTTTGGGTCTGGCTCCCTATGTATGAGTCACAACGCAAAGCTCAAACACAAGTACTTTTGTTTCAACTGTGACATGATAGGAAGGAGAATAAATACTATCCTTGTCGCACTCCTTACCGATATGTCCCTTGTAGTGAGGGGTGCTCGCAGTGACTGCGGATGGCGCCGCGAATGTCAGCAAAATTGTAGAAATGTCACCAGCACACCAGTCCTTTTAAGATAGCAAAAGCTTCATTTATTGAAGTTTTTTGTCATATAACAAAAAACTTCAATAAATGAAGCTTTTGCTATCTTAAAAGGACTGGTGTGCTGATGACATTTCTACAATTATGATAGGAAGGAGGTTGCATTCTTTAAACGAGAACTGTATTTCTTTTTCCCAAGCCAACGCTTATTTTTTAAGAAAGCATCTTCCAAGTTTTCATCGTGGTCTAAGTTGCATTGTTTAGTAAGCTTAAAAAAAGGACACATCTATCAGGTTTAATCAAAACTATGACACTATTGCCTGATGAAAGGGCTGGTGTGGAACTCTGAAACGTTGCCGTATTCTTTTGAGGAATAAATTGAATTTATATAGGAGAAGATCATAAGCTGGTGATACATGTTCCTGCCTATGGTTGGTCAAGGTGCCATCCATGATATATCACCGCAGAAAAGAAAAACAGTCGAGCTTTGTTTGGAGTGCGCCATATTCCTATATTCACGCTGGGGTTAAAAAAATGGCTGAGCAGAATCACATTATATTTGAGAGGGGTTATCCATGAGGAGCATACATAAACAAGGGGATTTCGAGGAAGGAGGACTCTGAGTTCTATGACACTGAAGCGCGATTTGGCTGTTGGTATACAGCCGAGGTGTGGGGTGAGTGTATACCCATCGGGGAGCGAATCTATGACAGGAGGAGATCACGGAGTGAATCACTGGATTATTGAAACGCATGATTTATGTTTTTCTCACCCTATGGAATGTGGAATGAACTTTACATGTTTTACTTTTAAAAACTTTTCTGAGTTCTCACTGTTTGGAACATGAACTGTCTTTTGTTTGAATGTTCGTTTTGATATTATTATATCAGTCCTGTATAGTATCTCACTGAATACATAATTTGGACAATTTCACTATATTTGTTCACTACGTATAGAGTACTATTTATTATTTATATTTATATTATTTATTCATACAATGCAACTCATATTGTGAGGTTTTTTAGTGCTGTACAACCTGATCCTATAATTTGAAACCTTTGTTTTGGTATAGCAGCTTTTTAACTGATTGGAGTGGAATTTCATCCATAAGCACAGATTTATTTATTTACATTATTAAAAGTTTTGCCCGGAGTTCATTCTTTAAATACATAGCTTTATAAAGTGTGTGTCTGTGTCTTTTAATGTCCAAACATTGAAGCCAAGCTACGAGCTAAAAAAAAGGAAGAACAGAGACTTTTTCAGTGACTAAAACTAAATAAAAAAAAGTATGACGACTAAAACTATAACGAAAATATATTGACATTTTAGTCGACTAACTAAAACTGAACTAAAATGTTATGGAGAAACGATTTGTGAAAAGATCCAATCAGAGCTAATCCCTTTGGATTTTCAGTTCCGGTTCCATCTCGAATGGATGGTTAATTCGTAATATGTGCACTGGCATTACAGCCAATATAGTTATTCATTTTAATATTTTAGAGCTGCACTGCTGCTTGAAAGAATGAAGAATGTCATATGCAAGTTGTTATAATCAATGCATATCTAATTACAAGTCCCATGTTCAAAATACTCAATATTATTGTTTCTTTATAAGACTTGGTTAAATCTGTGTCTGTATTGTATGTCCAAACCTTAATGCCATAAGTAATAACAGGTTAACAGATGTTTACTTCAGGAATATATAATGAGATTGGAAATTCCAGAGAAATTCTTAAAATGCACTTTAACTAAACACAGTAGATTGTAGTCGACTAAAATCTTATGAGATTTAAAGGGTTATTCAAAAAAAGGGTGAAGAACTTGGAGAAGGCAGGAGAAGTGAATAATCTAGGACAACGTAGCTGAACTGGAAAGTGAGGTGAATTGGAGAAGTTTTCCAAATCAATAATAATTAAGTTGGTATTTACTGCATTATAAAGATATATGGTCAGCAGATATTAATGATTCTGATATATCTAATATCATGTAGACTACTGCAAATTGATTCTCATACCTATACAAATACTATAGATTAACCTCTCCAAATCTTCCTGACGAAGCCTCGGCGAAACGTGTTGAAGTCTGGAGCAAGCAAAGAATCATGGCTGAACTAATGATATATAGAACAATTAAGTACAATTAATCATGCAAATAAGATATGAATACAATGAGGGCAATGACCAATATATGAATTTGTAATCATGGTTTCTGTGTGGGTTCCAGGGAGGTTATTTATGTTGTATACATCTATTTATGGTTTTTTATATGGATGAATTTTAGCATATTTATATGTATAGACATTACGAATTGAGTATATTAAAAATGGAATTTTATTATATATATGAATCAATTGACTTTATTGTTGGATCAATTCCCTGCTATTCTCCAGTGGTCACCATAAAGCCCCTTTCTTTCTCTTTCCCCCTTTTTTGATATATATTGCATATATAGGGGTGGTGTCCCAGTTTGTGTGATGGTTCCTAATTTTTGTATTACAACCTTAAACACTCAAAGAGCCATTTGGACCCGTTTCCCACAGAAAAGAAAACACTGGGAGCCACAAAACCCTTTTGACATCTAAAATGAAGATAACACTGCATATATTTGTTTTTTACCTTTATGCTATGTTTAGCATGTATATAGGTATATGTGGGCTTAGTAACGCACTGGACTCAGGGCTTAGTAATGCACTGGGCTCAGGGCTTACCCGAGACCCTGCAGAGCCCATCTGAGAGTGACCCTGCAGAGCATACCATAGACCCCGCACAGCCCATCTGAGATTCTATATGGTGGGCTCTGAAGGGCCTCAGGTTGGCTGGTCGCCAGGGTCCCTTGTCCTGTAACTCCTCCCAACTCCTCTTACCTGCTTCTGCTGGGGCCTGGCCTCCTCCACCTCCTCCCCTGTCACCTCTGCCATGCCGCCCCTGGTACAGCTGATACTCATGTAAGAGGCCCCCCAGGCTGCCCGGACTCCTCCCATGGGTACCGGCCCTACCCCCCTGATGGTGGTGTTCTATCAAAGTTTGTGACTACGTTACAATGTGTGACTGGTGACGTGGTCACACATTTCAATGTAATCACGCCCAGTTTTTTTGCGGTGGAATGTGTGACCACCAATAGCTCAATCATTTCAACTCTTTGTCAGCTGTTCCTGGAACAGCTGTTGGGTCCTGAAATGTCACTTCTATCCGACTTTGTGAGTGCAATCTCACATTCCACCCCACTCACAAAGTCCGATAGAAGTGACATTTCAGGACCAAACAGCTGTTCCAGGGCAGATAAGTTCAACACATACCATCTGCGATGCCGATCTCCCCTGGACAGGGAGCAGCAGGGGGATGAAAGAGCCACATGCGGCTCCGGAGCCGCAGGTTGCTGACCCCTGTCCTAGATTGTTCACTTCTCCAGCCTTCCCCAAATTATTCACCCTTTTGTGAATAATCCTGTTGTTAGTCAACTAAAAATTGACTAAAAATTCAGATGACTAAAATATGATAAAACTAAATGGAATTTTAGTCAGAAGACTGACTAAAACTACATTGAAATTTGCTGTCAAAATTAACACTGCCAAAACCCCCTGCTTACTATGACGCCAGTCCATCTGCAGAAAAGGCTAGTAATCACCTTCCAGGTCCCAGGCCTATTATTGCATGAAAACTTTATTTCAATCAGGTGCCAATTTGAGCACAAAGTCAGGAAATTATCTTCACATAGGCAAACCTATAAACTCTGCTCTTTAGTGAACCCAGGCCATAGTGTCACAATGGATATAGCTGTAAGGGTGAGCCTCTATGATAGTTAATTTTAATAACAGGGCATTCCAACTGCTGTTCTAGAGGAATCTATTATGACTAGGGATGCACAGATACTTTTCGAGTACCAGTGCAGATACTTGGCATTTTCACGAGAACTACCAGGGTTGCAGCGGTTGCAGCAGGGACCTGGCTCTGGAGCTGCACCACTGTCCTGAAATCATTAGTATGTATTGTTTTAGAAAAACTGTCACATGACAATAAACAAAAATTTATCAGTACTTGTACCTGTAAGTACTCGGCAAGTACCAGTACTCGTACTCGCAAAACTGGTATCTGTGCATCCCTTTATTTATAGTTATAAAAACAAAATCGTACATTAAAACAGAGATGTACAAATCCCAGGAGCTCCGTGTGCTCCTTACAAATGACAGCTGCCTTCTAATTTTTGAATTTTTCTCTAGTCTAGTCTTAGAGCTCAAAAGTATTGGTACATGTACTCGTACTTGTACAGAGTACTGTACTTGGTATCTGTGCAATCCTAATTATGACAGGAAAAAGATTAGCCAAAAACATCTGCAAATACCAGTCTCAGGTGGACCAAGCCTTTAATGCTTATTTATAGCAATACAAGAAAAATAATGTGATTTGTTATAAACATAATTTATTGTCTTAGTATTATTAGTTCATGTGAACTTAAATCAGTTTGAAGTTTGCAACTTGGTCTTTAGGGCTCTCAGTCTGGACATCACAACATCCCAATCAAGGTAAGAGCCCTCAAGATGACGGGAAACATCCGTCCCAGATTGGTAGCTCCTCCGCCCGTGCATAATCCTCCAGTTGTCAAATGTTATCACTTGACCTAAACATGGAGACATTGTTAGAATCTGAACATAAATTAATAGCATTATTATACATTTTAAGTGACCCTGCTACCAGCCCATTCATTCTAACAACCTTTGTATAAGATTATATGTGCATTTAATGTATTTTATGTATATTTTTCACCTGTAAAAGCTTTCCTTGTGCAGACATCCGAAAGCCCCGAGACTGTTCATCACTTGATGACAATTCAATGGCATGTAAGTGTGCCATAATGTGCAAGTATGCTCTGCACTTGCACATTATGTCAAAAGCTCTCTCACTTTACTGGAAATATGAGTTCCACTTGAAGGTAAACACTGTAATAACATATGTGCTCAATGAAAATACAATAAGCTTTCCTTTTAAAGAAGAATTCCATTTTGGGATTAAAATTGGCAGTAAACCTACATAATAGGTTATAAACACCTGGTATTTGTTATTTTATTAAAAGTTGCAGAAACATCTGCTCCAGATATAAAGCCACTTTTAACTTGGTGCACAATCACTACCAGCTCCTGGATGTCTGACACTTTTCCTTGGATTATTCAAACAGTGTAGCTGCTGCGTACACAAGCATTTGTATTTTGTGTCCCAAACAATTTAAGGTATATGAATAGGGCATGGTTACAGCCAAACATTGATGGGACATGGGTGCTATATAATTTGCTATGTAACCAAAATCTTTTAAAAGTGCAACTTTGCTATTAAAGCCTAGCGAGTAAGAGCAACTGTGGAATCAACCTACATTGTCTATGCTGGTTGGTTTATGTCCACAAAGCATGATTGCAGTATTGTGTCAATGTGACAACAAACATTAACCAATCTTAAAAGCCCAAACAATATTCAAACAATGTATCTAATAATGAAAAGCAGGCATGAGTAAGTTGCCATGTGTTCATAAAGGCCGTACAACGATTCAGAGGAGAGAGTCTGAAAGCAAACAGCTTCTGTTGTGCTTCTTTTTTAGAATGAAAAAATACATAGTTACATAGTATTTGAGGTTGAATAAAGACATAAGTCCATCAAGTCCAACCTATTGTGTGTGTGCATTTCTGTTTGAGTTGGTGTGTGAGTGTGTATTAGTCCATGTATGATTTCACTCTTAGGAGTACCTGTACCCCTGTATATTATGGTCTCCGAGGAACTCGTCCAGGAGTTTCTTGAATGATTCCACACTCTTAGCTGAAATCACTTCCTGTGGCAGCGAGTTCCAGACCTTAACCGCTCTTACTGTGAAGAACCCCTTGCGCCCTGTGTGTTGAAATTTTTTTTCCACCAATTTTTGGTTGTGCCCTCTGGTCTTTGTTACGAAGCTAACCATAAACAGTTTGTTAATAATGTTGCTGTCACCCTTGAATAGTTTATACAGGAAAATCATGTCCCCCCTTAATCTCCTAACTTCCAAAGAGAACATATTTAATTTTAACAACTTTGTTTCATAGCTCAGGTCCTTGAACCCCTTAATGAGTTTGGTTGCTCACCGCTTGACTTTTTCCAGCTCAAGGACATCTTTCCTGAGTAAAAACCAAAACTGGACCGCATACTCCAAATGTGGCAATGTGGAGACGGCATATGACATCTCTAGGAGTCTCCGACATAAAACCCCGCGGGCGCATTGCCCTGTGCGCCCGATCAAACAGCAGCGGGGTTGTAGGTGCCTGTCCCAATATAACATTAAAGATTTTCCTGAGTTTAATAATCAGGTCAGCGTCTGGCATAGTTTCCTGGAGACCTCTCACTCGAAGATTATTTCTGCGACTTCTGTTGTCTTGATCTTCCACCCGATAAGAGATAGCTCTTTGAGAGTGGGACAACGATTGTACTTGGGTTTGTAAAACTGACAGTGCCTTTGCTTGCTGATCCAGGCGCTGTTCGTTCTCTTCCACACGATGGATCAGGTGTGTAACCTCCCCTCTAAGAGACAAAATATCTGTCTTGAGGGATTGCTCCAAGTGGGTGAACATAGCCGTCAGCTCATTTCTGGTGGGGAGTGCTCTCACCAATTCATCCACCGGGGACAGTGAGCGCCGATCTCGAGTTTCATTTTGCTCAGTGCAGGCAGCCATAGCCTCCGCTCCTCGGTTGTATGTGGGTGGCCCGGTTAACGAGTCCGCCCGTGTAGGAGAACCCCGCAGTCGCTCCTGTTGCTCCGTCGCCAGGAAGCGTGTGATTACTCCCTTATTCGGCGTCTTCGCAGAGCCCGACCCGGAGCGCCCTGCGTCTTTCTTCATGACAGTCAGCTGGCAGGTCAGGTCAGAGCTAGCGTTGCTATTATGCAGCGTGCAGCATAGCGGACGAGTTTGTCCTGTCTGCAGAGAGGGGAAGCCCGGAGCTCAGTCTAGGTGTGTCCCGCCGCCATGAGATCTAGGACACGCCCCGCAGCGTACTCTACCGCATAGCATACATTCCTTTCTTAATGCAAGACAGAACACTGCTTGCTTTGTTTACAGCGGCCTGGCACTGCAAGCTGTTATTCAATCTGCGGTCTATAATGACCCCCAGATCCTTCTCCGTTTCCAACTTCACTAGTTGCATACCCATAAGTGTATAGACCATTTGCCTATTTTCAACTCCAAGGTGCATTACCTTACATTTATCTACTTCATCTGCCATATAGTTGCCCACTCCCCGATTTTATCCAGGTCCTCCTGTAATGTTATAATGTCTAAATATGTGTCTACTTCCCTCTCAATTTTCGTATCATCAGCAAACACTGAGACACGGCTATTTACTCCCTCCCCGATATCATTAATAAATAGGTTAATAAATACAAAAGTTTATATAAACCCTAACAATGAACTTCTCTTATTGTTCCTTTTTAGCCTGTTAAATATAACACTGAAAGTGTAGCCCTCCTAGTTCTCTATTGTGAAGATGGGAGAGTGGAAGGGTTTGAGAAGTTTAACAAAATAAAACTAGGCTGAGTGGAGATCAATCAGTCCACAAAAATGCTGCATATTGTCAGTCCACAATAGGACAGGCTGGCCATACACTGAGGCCCGCTCACTCAGCCAAAATCTGACCAGTATGGAGCCATGTCAGGTCCCTTCCGTTCAACAAAAGTTGATTTTTCAATTATCTTTTGTTGAATATCTGAGTCTCCAAAGGGCTTAACATGGGGAATATTCTTGTTTTGCAGAAATGCACTGCATATGTTCTTTTTATTTGCCATGTCAAAATTTCCCTTTCATTTCAAGCAGGAGTGAATACTCTGTTGAGATATGATACCTGCTTGTGTTACAACAAGTACATTAAGAACCAAAATTGATCAGAGCCTGGTAATTATTTAGTGAAGGGTACAATTTCCGACTGACCTGGTTTCATTTTGAAGCAGAATATATTCTCGGGTCTATTCAGAAGATTGACAAACTCTTTTAAGGAGGAGTAAAAAGGCTGCACCTTCTCTGCTGGTATGTTGAGTATTGAGTCCCGTGTTGCATTATTAAGATTAATTCTCAGAAGTTCACCATTCTGATCTAGTCTGAAAATAGAAGAACGCATTACCAAACATTCTTTTGCAACTTTAAGCTATGATGTTTACAGCATAAAGATAAGAGTCAGTTTTATTGCAGGATTCTCCTTTCTTAGAGGAACAATAAACTATGACCAGATAAGGCATACATAAGTAATAATAAGAGTGTCTTAGACAAATGACACACTGCTTTTAGAGCTATCAGCAAGTTTAATTATCAAATACTTCTGCCGAAATATGAATATAACTCCAAGGCCTCTCTTTTTTTTTTTTTGAAATTTTTTTATTATTTGAAGTAGAAAAATACATACATACATGGAGGAAAATTTCACCTGGAGATAAGCAGCTAAACAATGTTCCCTCTAACATCAGGGCTATATATACGTTACGGCTTTCAGTCTCTAGGTTATAGGAAAATAACAATGGGTAGACATCAATCCATGTGTACAGTTAACATAATGGGGGTGATTTACTAACCTAAACACACGCACGCACCAGGTGCGTGTGATTTTCACACAGCAAAACGTATTTATCAACCAAAAAGTCTCTAAAAGCATATTTCCACTAATGCCATATATGGAAAAATCATGCACATGATGCATATGTAATGCTGCTTCACAGTTTAGACAAAAATGGTTAGCTCATGCATTTACATTCCTGCATTCATCAACGCAAGCAACACAACATAGAGCTAATTTACACAACATCACCTTGCAACTCATGCTTGGCTTTGCACAACACACCTGCTGGGTGTGTACACACTACAAAGGTGTTTAGATTCCACCCATAGATCATGCTGGGAGGGAACACACTACAGAGGTGTATACATGTTTGTGGTGTGTTTATAAGGTTAGTAAATCAACCCCACTGAGTCAAACATAACTCGAATCTCGAAAACAATAAAGAACAAAATCTTCCTCAGGGCATGTGCATGGATTTAATAGATTTAGGTAATACTCGTGGACGAACTGAGGGTAGTATGGACAGGGCTATGTTAGAGATGTAAGGATTCGCAAGAAAAAGTATCTATTACGATGAAGTAGCTTATGTAAAGGAATGGGAAGTTTAGTGGATGTGTCCAAGGCTTCTCTTGTAAAGTTTGGATTCAACAAAGCTTTACAGCATATCATAACAGTTTATTGACATTAATAAATGGTAAAACGTATTGTGGTATATAAGAAGTTATAAAGAAAACTTGGCTGATAAATACATGGGTGAGGCCATCATTGAACTCTGAAACTACTAGTTGTCTAGTAAATGTTTATAAAAACCGACTTCTTTCAAAACATTAGGATTTAAAGCTGAACTCCATGCAAATAAAATAGACACAAATTAATGCAGCTCTGTATTTATAAAATTTGTCTTTTTTAGTGAAAGTATACTTTTATTAGTTGTATTTGGCTTGGTATTAAATCCAATTTAAAGCAGAGCTCAGACAGGAAGAAGCAACACAAAGAGCCAGTCAGTTGTGCTATAACATTTGTGTGCTAACAAGGGGCATGCGGATATAAAAAGAGAGCAGAGTGACAGAAATATGAACTCATCAGTCTGTTGCTTCTCCTTTCACTGTCTAGTCGCAGGCTGGGTGAGGGGCAAGACATTTAAGTGTTACTTAACCACTTCCCGTCCAGCGGTCATACATAAAACAGCTGGATGGGAGCCTTGTAGATGCTGGTGGGCGTTTTGAAATGTTCATCCCCGCCCCCAAACTGTTTGAGATGTATACGGCCGGCGATGGCTGTTTCAATACAAGCATTCCGGTGACTGCAGAGACGCCCAATCGTTTGTATTTTGCCTGCGGGTGTGCGTCCCTAGGCAGCGGTCCCAAGCTTCGCTGCGCCCAGTGTAGGCCGGGACTGGCACAGCGGCTCTATCACTAGAGATCAGAGGGAGTTCAGTACAAGATCGCCAACTGATCTCCTTCCCAGTCTCTGAATGCTAGAAGTGATGTATATTACAGCTTCTCTTGGGGGGTTCCTAGGTGACATTAGGGGTCTGAAAGACACCTGATGGCTCCATAAAGAGGACCTGTCACGTAATTGGCTATCACATAGGGGACATTTTTATTTGTTATGCATTCGTTATGTGTGTGCATAACTGTATTAAGCTGACCTGTGCCAGAAGCATGCCGGAGAATAAGACCGCTGCTCTACCATAAAGTGCATCACTCTAGGTCTCCAGCACCCCAATACCCCCCTCCACTGTACACCAATCAACAATGGCCATGTTCTCTCAGCAGTGTTTCTGATTGGATTACTACAGAAAATTCATGTTGGATCGATGGAAACCCCCGGACTGCTGCAATCTTTTGAAGACAGTGATCCTGTTCTACTACATGCATCCGGCATAGGGCAGATCAGTAAAGTGAAAGTGACACTAAACTCAGGAGTTAAATCTTAAAAATGCCTTTAAGTACCTTAACTTTTAACAAAAATGTATCTTATTTGTGTATTACTCGGCTGTAGATCCTCAAATCATCTCTGAATTGGTGCCGACACTGTCCTTCCTTCTGGAGAGTGGCTACTTTTGTTCCCCATGGTCCCTGCATGTGCTGTAAAGTAGTCACAGCTCCAAGCTCACTCCTGTGATGGACTACAATCTCACCTTTTAGATGACTAATTTGTATTGAGATTATAGTTCATCATGAGCGTAAGCCAAGAGTGGTGGCTACTTTACAACACACTCAGGGGCCATGAGGTACAAAAGTAGCCACCCTCCAGAAGGAAGGACAGTGTCAGCACCAATTCACATTTTTGTTAACAGTTAGGATACAAGAATGCATTTTTAAGATTTACCTCCGGAGGTCAGTGTCACTTTAGACACTTAAATAGTAGAAAGTTATAAAATGATGCCATATCTTTTACTTTTTATACAGCTTGACTGCATAACAAGTAAAGTAATTGAGATTTAACTGCAATGCAGAAAAATCAGGTATCCTGCTTGGCCAGACAGGGCTGTGGCAAGGTTGAGTAAACCTCAGGACTGGACAGACAGAAATAAAAACCTTTGGCAGGTAAAACAGTTCCTTTATATGTACTGTATATCATCTATGTATTTAGCTGTGTGCATGGAGTTTAGCTTTAAATGATATGCTATACAATTTCCATCCAGCAAGAGGCAGTCTTTCTCTTTCTCTCAGAGTCTCCTCTTTAGGGCGATGAGCACAGACTACCTCTAATGGGACTACGGCTGAATGAGCTTACTCTATTATTCGTTGTTTGGACTGGAGGGAAAAATCACAGTAATCAACTCCAATGTCTGTAAAGTCGATCTGTGTAGACGTGAGGATTCGGAAAGCATCTGGATTCTGTTCTTTTAGTTTGTTGCAGACATGGAACCCGTCTACCACTTCACTCTCACCTCCAGTTTCAGATTGTTTTAAACAGTGAAGAAACTGTACCTGGCAAATGAAAAAAGTCAGTGAATTCATAGGTCCAGCAGAAACTATTTTATGTAGTTTTCATGTAATTTTACAGTCTAAAGCTGGCCATACACTGCTCTTTTTTTCCTTCAACCCACAGGTTGAATGAAAAACATAGAGCAGATTCCTCCATCAACGCTACAAGCACGTTGATTGAGGAATCCCCACGGCCGCCGGCTGCTGTCAGAATACCCGCACAGATTACAAAAAAATTCCCACCGGCTCCTTCGATCAGCTGATAGAGGGATGGAGGGCGAAAGGGTGCCGACACCCAGTGTGCAAATTTTGGCTGGCTCTTCAAGTACCGGCCGAAATTTGTACAGTATATGGCCACCTTTATACTTTCATTATCTATGATATGGTCAATTCATACAGGAACAATGAAAGGGGAATTTTGGTACATTGAACTGAACAGTCAATTATTTTTAGTTTTGGATAGGGTAGGAAAGAATTAGAACTCCTGTTTGGTTTTTACTGACATCTGGAGCTCTGTTAGAGAAATTTCCCTTCATGTCCTGTCCCAATGACAACGGTTTTATCAGTAAGTGAAGGAAAATCTGCAACAGCAACAACTAGTAGCGTAGAAAGAGATTAGAATTCCTATCAGCTTTTAATTGCTGTAAAGTGATAGAGTGTCAAATGCCACACTGATCTGCCTAATGATCAGGAACTACAGGGCCCATTCACACTAAAGTGTCAATGCATGCTAAAATGAATGCATTCCCTCAACCCACAGAAATACACCTGCTCTTTATGCACTGTGTTGTGGTACAAAAAAAAGTTTGACTGTAGACACACTTTAATGTTCAACAAACTTAAGGTTACATTTTACTTGCATACTTGGCATAAATTAACAGAAAAAAAACCTTGGATATTTAAATGTCACTCTGATCCACACAACACCCACCTCTATTTTGGATGATGCATAACTAGCATGGTTATTCACAAAAGGGTGAAGAGTTTGGAGAAGGCAGGAGAAGCGAACAATCTAGGACAGCATAGCTGATTTGGAAGAATTCTCTAAATCAGCTCACTTTCCAGTTCAGCTATGTTTACCTTTGATCAAACCTGTCCTACTAACCTCATGACCTTATTAGAAAAACATAAGTAATACATAAAACTTAGTAATGGATGGCCAAAAATACAAATCCATATCTGTATTTAGCTGTTTGGTTACATAATGCAATCCATTTTGTTTATTAAAAACACAATTGCCCAAAGTTACACAATCAAATGAAGATTATTTATTACTAATTTGCACTACTGGTATGTATACTCTACATCCTTCCTTCCTTCACACTCTGTCTGGTAGACACAACCAGGGCAGATGAACTCATGTTGTAGTGAAAGTTTGTACAAGGGAAAAAAAAAGCTTCGAAAAGATGACTTTTCTAATGGCAGTAAACACTCACATTTTAATGAACTACATGTGGTGACTGGATAGTCCCTGATGTTTATACCGTCTGCGCTTTGTAATTACTCTTGTGCTATTGTTTGTATTTAATAACGTCTGCATTTTTAATTGAGATAACATAAATCACAGAACAACAACAGCAACATAAAATCTTTATCCAGATGTCATATGCGGATTTACGTTCCAAGTGAATCCATACTGTTGTGTTTGCATGAGAGGCTGGGAACCGGACATGATTTCTGAATCCTATGGGTTTATGTAATCCTTGGCATGCTTACCTATATGACCTCAGGCACATCTGTTCTCATGTAAACAGTACTCTACCTATGTTTTTATTTGAACTTTTAAAGTAATCCCAATTAACAGAATGTGTGTTATTAGAGCAACAGCAAACTAGTTTTTTAATAGCTGTAGTGAGAAAAGGAGAGAGAGCCTTAAAGAGGCAGTTCACCACCATGCCCTGGGTGGGTTTTTGCCATAATGTGCAAGTATGCAAAAACCTCAAGAAATCTCTAGACAAGGGAAGAAGAAGTTTTATTGGTTTTACAGAAGAGACTTTGCATGTCTCTTCTGACAAAAATCCCTACCGCCTAGAGATTTGTTTTTTAATTTTCTAACTGTACTTTAAAAGCAAAATTTTATACAAAAATGACAAGATAAAAATGAATTGCCCATTAAAAAAATAAATCAAAAATAATTTTGCTGTATTAACTTCAGTACTGAGATTTCTTCCATCAGGATGTTTCTGCCACTAGATGTCTTCAGTGTGATGGTCAGCATTATTCACCCCACTTCCTCTAAACCCTGGTCACCCCATACATGTCCCCAACCTGTGACTGAACAGTGAAAGGAGAAGCAGCACAGTGATGAGCTCATCTCTCTCACTCTGATTTTCTTCCTATCAGCATGTTCCTAGCCAGCACATGAACTGATTGGCTCCTTGTAACTCTGCTTCATCTTGTACTTCAGCCCTGCTGCACAGGGACTGCAAGTGGCTGATACCAGGTCAGATTAAAGGTGCCCATACACCTTACGAATATCGGCTGATTTTCGTATGTGATCGCGTTTTCGTCCGATATTCGTAAGGTTGATGAGCAGTGTACAACCGCAAATACATGTATGTACAATCGATCGACTTTTGACTAACCAGCAGGTTAGAAAACTTTGTTCGATCGTACGATTTTTGCAAGGTTGGTGGTGTTTCCGTACGTCAAAATTTGTACGATTTACATTGCACATGCACAGACGAAAATATGTGCGGTCGATTACCGCAATTCATCCAGGTGCTTTCTTCTAATTACTGCTGATCCAACCTTGCGATAATCGGGGCAGGATGGGGCCGCCGTATGAAAATCGTACAACGGTTTGATCATCGGACGAAGAGTGTCGTCCGATTATCACAAGGTGTATGAGCAGCCTTAGGTACAAACACTGCTTGCCTTGAAAGAATACATTAAATTATGTAGTAATGATGACAAAGCTGCATTATAATGTAATCTTTTCTATCTGTCTAGAATTCAGCTTTAAAACCAGCCCATCAAAACATGTTAGTAGTGGCACAACAATTTCTAAGAGCCAGGCCACTGCTTGCATCAGGTCTGAGAGCTCTTGAAAGGAGTACTGAGGGATGTTTTTAAGACGATATGCACATCACGCTACCAGCCGCTAGCCCCAATCATGATCTGTCCACATTGCATAGAGAAGCAGAGGCCTAGTGATTACATCACTGGGTCTAAAATAAGGTATGTAATGAAAAATATAAAAATTTTCATTAACATTTGATGGGGAGGGGGGAAGGGGGAGTTGGAAGGAGGCGGGGAAGGCAACATGTAAATTAAAATTTTTGTTAACAATTCCTGGTTGTTCCTTGTTAAACATTGCAAAGATTTAGCTCTGTAGTTGATGAGATAGACTGTTCTAGTGCACTTGCAAAAACATCTTCCAAAATAAATGCTAAGTTGTAAATGCGCCTTTAACATAACTAAATAATCATTAAAAAATTTGGACAAAAAACATCCCTTTAGAAGTGCATTGCTTTGTGCAAGTACGTCAACATAGATGATATTAGCAGTGTACTAAGCCTGAGCACTTAGAATTTCAAAATTCTACTTTTATTTTACTTGGCCTCAGCGTCAACTTAGTGAAGCAACATTATATAAATGAAAAACAAATCCTTACGCTTTACCCCTGATTAGAGTCTACTAGCAAGATCAGGCAACTTTAATTTGTCTGAAGTACCAAAGACACCACAAAGTTACCAGTGCAGGGTGACAATTATCTATTAGATTCCTAAGCCTAAACATTAGAGTGAGGCTGGGCAAATCCCAGGAGCATAAAAGCCAATGTTCCATGAAATTCACAGCTGGTTCCTGTTTGAGGTTCTCTCTAGTTGTTGTCAAGGGAGCTGGCTCATAAAAAAATATCCTGGTGGCTCTCGAATTGTCCTCTTATTCAATTGTCCACCACTTTATTAGAGTGCAGATATGGCCATAAACAGCAAAAAGAGGCAAGAAAGAGATGTTAAATTTCCAGTCAAATCTATGGGTTAGACAGGGACAAAAGCTGCAGCAATAATGCATTTACTGAAATACATAATTATTGTATGACCATATGTGCCATTCTTGGCTATCTGAATTGATAAAAATCAGATGTGGGACATGTCTGCACCATAGGAACATCCAGTACATGACCTATTAAACTTGAATGATGTACACCTGTTTCCATTATGAATATGCATTTACTAAAAGTGTTATTTCTGCATTTGCCATTGTGAATTGTGAAGCAGGGAAAAAAAATTTAACTGACCAAAGAGAAGAAAATGACAAATTTAGGAAATAATAGTCTAATCTGCTCTTGCTTCTCAATATCACAATCAAGCGATAAATAACTTACTCCTGGAGGATAATGGAGAGCTGGATAATCCGTGTGTAGACTTAATTTTCCAGATGTGTAGGCCACGTTGTTGGCATCTACTTTGTCTTGGACTTGCCAAGTATATCTGTAAAACAACCAACCTTTATGACTATTGTATAACATTGTACTCTGATTATATTTTTACTCTCTGCTACACAAGATTAATATGTGCAATATTAGTTAGGCTTCTTCCAAAAAAGACCATCACACCATAGTCTGCCAAAATGACTTACAATACAAATTAGTATAGATCTTTGAAGCAGTTCCTTTACTGTACTTATGTTGATATACCAGCTAGGACTCCGTTATGAACAGTACATTTCTGAGGGTGTTTTCCTGTCACAACCATTGTTTTTCTTACAATAGATTTAAAATGGAAAAAACTCGACATGAATCTTAAAAATGCATTCAAGTATCTTAACTATTAACAAAAATGTATTTTATATGTGTATCACTCGGCTGTAGATCCTCAAATTATCTCTGTATTCATGCGGACACTGTCCTTCCTTCTGAAGGGTGGCTTCTTTTGTTCCCCATGTTCCCTGTGTGTGTTGTAAAGTAGCCACCACTCCAAGCTCACTCTTGTGATGGACTACAATCTCAATACAAAACAGTCAACTTAAATGTGAGATTGTAGTAAATCACAGAAGTGAGCTTGGAGCGGTGGCTACTTTACAACACACAAGGGACCATTGGGTACACAAGCAGCCACCCTCCAGAAGGAAGGACAGTATCAGCACCAATTCAGAGATGATTTGAGGATCTACAGCCGAGTGATACACAAATAAGCTAAATTTTTTAAATTGTTGAGGTTTTTGAACCTATTTTTTAGACTCAACTCCTGAGTTTAGTGTCACTTTAAAGTGTATGTAAAGGCGGCCTTTTTGTAATTTTGAAAACAATGGGGAAGGGTTATACCCTTTGTAATAGTTTTATTTGTGCCCCTGCTGGGGAGATTTACCCTCCTTTTTGTCCTGGTGTCTATTGACAGCGGGGAAAATCCAAAATATGCGAGTTGCCATCAGAGCAATAGGTCTTCCATTGAGGAAACCGGTTTCATATGACCACACTCTAAGATGGGAAGTCCGTTCACTTTGGAGGGATTTATTCTCACAGCCTCTTGCTTCTCCAGGACAGGATGTGAAAGAATCTCTCCCCAGAGGGGGTTCTTACTTGTCCCTCCCCTATCTAAAACTATAAAAAAAAATACACTTTAAGAAAAAGATTTGGCTACAGGATGTCAATAACTGTGGAAAAAGTAGAGCAGACAACACTAGGCAATAGTGTGGTGGTACATGACAATAGCAAGGTCCCCCACCCTTCAAATTTGCCTGGCAATCAGGCAACACTTGTTAAGCAAGTGTCTTCACTTAGCCATCAAATGTAATTCTGTTGCAGGCAACATTTCAGTCACATATTGTCTTGGCTGAGAAATATATCTGCTTTGAAGACTTCAGATGTTTGTGGGTATGAACCCAGACTATGCCATCACTATCAAGGACTGAACAATCTGATGAAGCAGCCTGATTTAACCGCTAAATAATTGGTCATTCCAGATCTAAATAAAGTTGTTGTTTTTTTAAATATTTTGATTTAAGACATAGTATAGCCCTTGATACATGTAAATATGCTACTGTGGTTAAGCAGGTTAGACAGAAACAGCACTGTTGACCTCTGTGCTTTGTGTATGACAGAGAAGCTTAATATCATATTCAGGAGGAAAAAAATAATCAAATACTCTTCTTTGCTCATAGTTTCTCTTATCAAAAAATTACATCAGTACAGAAGAGTAATATACTGTGGGTGCATGCATGCTTATACACCAGATAACCCTTTAAACACCAATTTGTGACTGGGAAATGGATAGTCAGACAATAAGACAATAAAATACTAACTGCTCCAACATTCTGTGAGTGGAGAAAATGAAATGGGCATTCGTCTTTGAAGTTACTGACTGGATGTCATCATCGCTTTACTCATGTTGCAGTCGAAATTACATCCATACATGCTCTTCCCATTTAATAGCATTAATCTTTGGCCCTTAACAGAGAAGATCAAGCTTGTCTGCACAGTCAGTAGTCTATAGTGAAAACAACTAATTACAGGTGTTTGGAATTTCCACTGGATGTATGGCGGTAAGCTGCTCACAGACATCAGAGAGGGTCTGGATGTGTAGGCACAATGTAACCGGTTTCAGATGTCCGCATAGCCAGCATGTAGGTAGGTAACAATTAAAGGAATTTTTTTTTTTTATTAAAAGAAAAAAGGTAAAAAATAATTTTGTTACATGTCTTAATACAGTTTAGGGCTATGATAGATTCTCACTAATACAACTATACTTAATAAAATACTAGTCTAACCTTACCAGAACACAGAATTAAACCAGGAGGGGCAGACATAACCTAACAAGATAACTGTCAGGAACCAGAACTGAACCCAGGGCCTCTGCTGTAGCTGGCAGTGGCTCTACCTGCTGAGGCACCTTAGAACCTTAGATAGCCCCCTTCCTAATCTCCTGTATAATCCTCATTTAAACCTAGTTTCTGCTGAACTCCTTGCTCCTCGTTGAACTTCCTATTTAAGCCATGCCTCTACACTTCCGATTTGCCAGATTGTGCTCCTGCCAATATCTTGCTTTCTGCTCCTTCTGTGATGCAATCCGCTAATACTGCTACCCGTGTACCGACCTTTTGGCTGCTGATTCACTGACTACTCTGATCGTCTTCTGCTTCATACCTGATACCTTTGGCTACTGACCTTGGCTTGTTCACTGACTACGCTTCTGCCTGCATACTACTACCGTCTCCTTGTGTACCGAACCCGGCCTGTTTAACCTCGAATTTGCCTGCTGTTTCAGCTACTGGACTTTGAGTCTGATCCCAGATTGTGACAATAGTTACAAAGTTACATGGTTAGTCAGGTTGAAAAAAGACACATGTCATTCGAGTTCAACCTAACATGGCACACAGACACGTGGAAATAGGGGGAAAGGGAAAAAAGGAAATCTGAAAAGGAGGAACAGAAAAGGACCATAAAAACATGGACAAGTCATACAAATCCCTTCAGGACCCTTATTTTTCAGCTAGGCCTACAGGCTTAAGGAAGGAAGGGAAAATATTTATTAACCCTTGTAGTAGGGCTACTTCTACATTGCAAGATTGAATTGCTCCTTTTTGTCTAGGTGCAAAAAAAACAAAGTTATACTTACCCGAACCTCACAGATGGATGGTTGTTACAGCACTCCCTCCAGCCCGTCTTCTCCTCCACTCCAGCAACGGTATGTTCCTTGGCGTCCTCACATCCTATAAACAGTGTATTGGATATGATGACTCATGGGACCTTAGATCGCTGAAGCAGAGGAGGAGAAGCTGGAAGGACCTGTCGTACAGCCAGTCAGGTGAGTATAAACTTTTTTATATTCGCACCTAGACTAAAATGAACACCTAACCACTGCAATGCAGGGGAAGCAAGCAAGAGTTCATTTTACCAGAGTTCTTCTTCAACATAGACAAGTCTAAAATATATTACAAGCTTAAAATATATATCTATCGGTGTTTAATGCTGGTTTCCCGTGTCTGCAGCTCTCAGGTTCCAGTATTCTGCAAAATATTTAAAAACGTGTCCAGCCAGCCCAAAGGTTGTAAAAAGTCTGCTAATCAGCTTTTCTAAGAACTCTTACATAATCAAATATACATCATTCATTTATCTTAAGCTTTTTTGTTCAGTAACATTTTTTTTGCACTGCTTATCCTCTCTATGCTCCAATACTGCCCTTTGCATTTTCCTCTGCCACTCACTTCGGGGCTGAATGATGGCCAGCATCATTCAGTCCATTCTTGTGAGCCCAGACTGTAAAGGATACACCCCCTGGGGGCTCATCATCATGCCGACCTAGGTTAAAAGTACTGCTACAGTGAACAAAGTATACAAATCATTAAGTAAACGTCATTGAGCAGTGCAGTAATGATTGCCTACTGCCTATGCTTGGTCAGAAGGGATATCCCAGTCTAGTCCCTCAGTCTAGCCCTCTCTGAAGGCAAAATTGAAGTCGATAGATTCTGTTCCCTACTCTATTATCTAAAACAACACTGTAACAGATTCTGCTCTAAGCATTTTATTTACAGTCAAACCTAGACATCTCAGACCTCTTTTACAATTGTTATTTTTACAATTATCTTGAGCTTGCATTCAAAGTGGACCTTTCAGTAACTATACATTTTTCACAACTCCCTAAAGTTTCAAAATACATAACAATATACTTTTGCCAAGAAAGCTCTACCTTTTATCATTAATAAACAGTTAATGAACACAAATAAAGCAACTTTGGCTACCCTGAAGTTCTGTCATCTGTCTACTGCAAGCAGGAAAAAGCATTTCCTCAACCTCCTCTCAACATTGTAACTTTTGAGTAAGTCACAAGGCTGCAAGAGGGACTGATGTGTCAAACATTTTTGAAAACAGCCAAGAACTTCACAGGCACCAGAATTTACATGACCCATCTTTGAACCAGGGTGACAATGCAGGAACAAAACTGGAAGACAATTTGCACCCCATAACAGGAAGTGCCCGTACGAGCCCTTCATAGCAGGACCCCCAGGTATTTTACCGAGAGCTGATTTAAAAGAAATTAAAGCAATTTTTGGAATTACATTAAACGCTAAACTCTGGAGTAAGTAAAAAGTGTCTAAATACAAGAAGCATGTTGATTTGTATTTGAATCTTAGAGTGCTTTGTGTGTTGCTTCCAAATCTGTGCAGCAATCCAGTGTGCAACTTTTCTGCTGTGCAGGAGTTTCCTGTAATAAAGGCCAGTCACTACTGTTCTCTCCCCTTGTGCAGGGTGACTGGTTTTATATCCTTTATGACTACTGAGGTTTATACTTAAATAAAAGTTTTGTGCCTGGAGGTCATCTTTAAAGTTGTATCAAGAATCAATGAATCAAGATCAAATATATACTGCCCAGCAAAGCATTGCTTGACATTTTTGCACTCTTACACTTACAATCATTATGTTTCTGTACAGCTGCTTCCAAATCCCTCAGCTCAGCTTCCCTGAACATCCTGTCCAGTACAAGATAACAAGGAC